TTTTTCAGGATGCTGTAATGTCTAAGATCACATCTGCATCTCAACTTGTAGATGAATCTGGTGAGTCACCGACAGTAGATTTTTCAAAGATTTACATGGATGAAGTGGGTGGGGTTAAGAAGGCATGTATATATGGTCTTGGTTCTCAAGCAGTATTCTATGAGAACATTGGTTCATCGTCTGCTTCAACTACTCAACCTCAAGATTGTAGTTTTGATGCTCGAGTGAAGGAATATGTTCAAGAAATGAAAGAGGAGATGAAGCATGAGATGAGATAAGAGATGAGAGAAGAGATACGACATGAATTGCATGAAGAAATGAAACATGAAATGCAGCTAGAAATGCAAGAGCAAGTTGATAAGATTCTCCAAGAACGTTTGCCCATCCTCATAGCTGGGCTGCCTAAACCACCCCCTAGTACACTGCTCACTGGTACACCTCCAACTGGTACACCACCTTAGCTTAGACATGACCCATTATCAAATAATGATATGAGTCATTTAAATTTTTCAAACTATCCTAAGTAGATTTTGCATTGTTTGTTCCGTATTTGGATTTATTTTGAACTCTTCATCTTAGATTTTGCATTGTTTGTTTCCTTATTTGGTTTTATTTTGAACTCTTCATCTTAGGTTTTGCATTGCCTGTTTCTGTATTTATTTTGAATTAATCTTTGGTTTTGCATTGTTTATTCAAGTTATAATTTATCAAAGAACCACTGTATGTTTCCAGACTTTTTAAGATTCGTAAAAGCTATTGATTAATATAAATATATAAAGTGAAATTTTACTATCGAATTACTATTTAGTCAGTAATATGTCAATATACATTACCAATCAATCACTGACCAAATATTGAACATAAATGATATACATTACCAACAAATTAACAATCAGTTAGTAAGCTTCCTAACAAATTAGTAATGAGCTTTTTGTGTTTCTAAAATACTAGCCAATTAGTAACGTAAGTTACAAAAGTAGATAGTCATACTTACTTACAGATTTAAAATTCGTTGGTAATTTACTAACGAAATACCAACACACTTTTTTTCTTAACTGAAATTGCTAATCGATTACCAATGCATTTTAGTGAATTTACTATCGAACTTACCAACCAAGTTGTTATATGTTATATAATTGCTAACGGAATAGTAACAACATTTTATTTTATTTTAGTATATTTGCCAACATATTACTAACAAAATTGAATAATGAAGAACCAAATTTACTAACTCTTTTGCTCTTCGTTAGTAAACTTACCAACAATATTCCAACCGAAAATTGGTTGGTGAATTTACCAACGAAAATTTGAAGGCAACATTTCAACAATTGCCAACAAGTTGTTTATGTGTTTACCAACTGAATTTTAGTCGGTAATTTTACCAACTAACTGAAATGGGTTGGTAAAATTAGTGACAAGCTTTTTAGCAACGGATTAACATTAGTTGGTATTCAGTTGGAAAATTCATTTGCTAACCAATTTAATCAATTTACCAACCGATAATTTTGTTGGCAATTCAGGGTTTTTTGTAGTGCTTGCCCTTCTTACCAAATCTCATCACCCTTTCATGGGTGATACATTAAGAAGAACGTTCTCACCAGTCTGAAATTCCATGTCTCTTACCTTATGATATGCATACTTCTTCTGTCTACTCTAGGCTGCTAGAAGTTTAGCTTGAATACTCCTCACCTTATCTTGAGCATCCTTCACTAAATCAACCCCCAAAGGTTTAACATATCCAGCCTCGAACCAACCTATGGGTGACCTACATCCCCTCCCATATAATGCCCCAAATGGTGCCATATCAATGCTGGAGTGGTAACTATTATTATAGGAAAACTCACAAAAAGGTATGAATTTATCCCAATGCCCTTCAAAATCAATCACACATGCCCTCAACATGTCTTCCAACACTTGAATAGTCCTCTCAGATTGTCCATCCATCTGTTGATGAAAGGTTGTACTAAAAGTGAGTTATGTGCCCAATTCATCATGCAATTTCCTCCAAAACTTGGAAGTGAATTGGGTACCACGATCTGAGATGATAGAAAGGGTCACCCCATGCAACCTCACTATCTCTTTCACATACACCTTAGCCAATTGTCCAGCGTTATAATATGTTCTTACTGGAATGAAATGGGCTGACTTAGTCAATCTATCAACCACTACCCAAATAGAATCGAATTTCCTCAAAGTCTTGGGAAGACCAACAACAAAATCCAGAGCTATTATTTCCCACTTCCATTCTGGAATTGGCATTTTTTTAAGTAAACATGCAGGCCTTTGATGCTCATATTTCACTTGTTCGCAATTTTGACACTTCGCCACAACTCCACTATGTCTTTCTTCATGCCCGACCACCAATAAATTCGTTTTAGATCTCTATACATCTTGGTCACACCCGGATGAATAGAATATCGCGAACCATGAGATTCTGCCAATAATTTTTTAATCAAGTCATCAACTCAAGGAACAAAAATCCTCCCTTTAACACTGAGTACACCATCCGCATCAAGAGTGGTCTCTTGTGCCTTACCATTCGCCATCCTTTCCTTGAGTTCATTCAAATTTTCATCCTCAAATTGTTTAGCCTTAATCTCCTCAATGAATGTGGCCTTAACTTCAATGCCAGTTATCACCGTGCCTCTTTCAGAGATGCCCAACTGCATGAACTTAGACTCTAGGGTCTGAATTTCTTTGGCCAAAGATTTCTTGGTTAGACTCAAGTAAGCTCAGCTACCCATACTTACCGTTTTTCGACTCAAATCGTCTGCCACAACATTAGCCTTACCCGGATGGTATTGAATGGTCACATCATAATCTTTGAGTAACTACATCCATCTTCGTTGTCACAAATTTAGATTCTTTTGAGTGAACACATGCTGCAAACTACGATGATCAGTAAACACTTCACACTTAACACGATAAAGATAATGCCGCCATATCTTAAGAACAAATACTACCGCTGCCAACTCTAAATCATGCATTGGATAATTCCTCTCATGCACCTTCAATTGTCGTGAGGCATAAGCTATAACATTCTTATCCTGCATCAACACAGCACCCAAACCAGAATGTGAAGCATCACAATAAACAATAAAGTCTTCACCTTCCACCGTTAATTCTAGAATGGGTTGGTGGTCAAGAGAGTCTTGAGCTTTTGAAAGCTGTCCTCACATTTTTCAATCCATTCAAATGGTATCTCCTTTTTGGTCAAATTGGTCAAGTGAGTAGTAATTGAAGCAAAATTCTTAACAAATCGACAATAATAGCTAGCGAGTCCCACAAAACTCCTAACCTCAGTCACAGAGCTAGGCCTAACCCAATTCCTAACCGCTTCAATCTTTTGAGGATCTACCATTACACCTTCTTTTGACACTACATGCCCCAAAAATGCAACTGATTTCAACCAAAATTCACACTTTGAAAATTTAGCATATAACTTTTGTTCCCCAAGAACACCCAAAACAGTACGAAAATGGTTGGCATGGTTTTCTTCACTTTTCGAATAAACCAAAATATCATCAATAAAGACTATCACAAAGGAATCAAGAAATGGCTTGAACACCCCATTCATCAAACTCATGAAATTTGCAGGCGCATTGGTCAAACCAAAAGACATAACCAAAAACTCATAGTGCCCATAACGAGTTCTAAACGCCGTCTTAGGCACATCCTCAGGCCTAATTTTCAATTGATGGTAACCGGATCTTAGATCAATCTTTGAGAAAACTGTTGCACCTTGCAATTGGTCAAAGAGATCATCTATTCTAGGCAAGGGGTACCTATTTCGAATAGTGGCTATATTTAATTGTCGGTAATCTATACACATCCTCATACTACCATCCTTCTTCTTAACAAACAAAACTGGAGCACCCCATGGGGAAGCACTAGGGCGAATAAATCCCTTATCAAGGAGCTCTTAGATTTGAGCGTTAAGCTCTCTTAATTCTGCCAGAGCCATGCGATATGGAGGGATAGAAATGGGACGAGTACCAGGCTCTAAATCAATGCAAAAATCTATATCTCTATCCGGAGGCATACCAAGCAAGTCATTAGGAAACACTTCACTAAATTCAAACACCACAGGAATAGACCCAATGGATGGAGCCTCAATCTCAACATACCTAACATGAGCCAAATAAGGCAAACAACCCTGATCTACTAATTTACTAACCCGAATGGAGGATTTTATCTTAGCTTGCTTAGGCTTGTACACCCCTTCCCACTCTAATTTTTCCCTTCCCGAATTTTCTAGAGTTACAGATTTAGTATTACAATTAAGCACAACATAATAGGGGGACAACCAAGTCATGCCTAAGATTATGTCAAAATCAATCATATCCAAAATCACCAAATCAGCCCAAGTCTGAAAACCCATAAACATAACAGGACAAGCACGATAGACATAGGTAACTATGACTGACTCTAACAACTAGGGTAAGAAACACTAAGTAGGGGCGTACAAGAATATCAACAAATCATCTACAAAATCAGAGGCAAATCTCAACAAATACATATGAATAAGTAGAACTCGGATACAAACAACACATTAGCCATCCGGTCAACAAACAAGAATAGTACATATGATCACCGCGTCGGACGCCTCCGCCTCATTCTTGCCCAGAAAAGCATAACATTGAGCCCTATCATCTTGTCGAGATACTTCCCTTCCTGGTTGCGCGTTATCCCTACCTCCATTACCATTACTATTTCCTCTACCTCCACGGCCTCGTTGATTACCTCCTCGCCCACCTTGTGGACGTCCTCTACCATTATTACCGTTCCCCATGGGTACCACTGCTCTAGACTGCTACTGCTAAGTGGAATCTAACACACGTGGGTGGGGACAATCTCTCCTCATATGCCCAGGTTCACTACAGTTGTAGCAAGTACGATCAAAAGGTGGTCTAATGCCCATCGAAGGCACGACAATCTAACTGTCCTGTAAATTATGAGATGGAGTTCCCGAGTAGTTACATATAGAGGCAGGCATAGCAGATTGAATTGTCTTGGCTGCAAGTGTTGGCCTTCCAGACCCCTTAGAGTAAGAGCCTTGAAAGTTACCGGAATTCTTCACCCTTTTTGCCCAAGCCTTAGCTTGATCGTCTCGCCTCACCCCCTCCATTTTCTTAACATAGTGTTTTACCTCATTTAAACTCCTCCCTGTAGAAGTCATATGAACAGATAATACTTGCAACTTAGAATTCAAACCTCTAATAAACAATCGGATCCTCTCCTCCTCAGTAGTAACTAACTGCATGGCATATCTGGATAAAGCATGGAGCTTGGCCTCATAAGCGGCCACAGACATACCATCCTGCTCTAAAGCCATAAGTTCATCCTTCATGCGATCCCTCAAAGTTCTAGGCACATACTTCTCTAGAAACAGAGCATGAAATTGGGTCCAAGTAAGTGGAGGTAAAGTAGAAGATCTGCACTCCATATAAGCTCTCCACCACTGCTTGGCCTCACCTTGAAGTTGGAAAGACACGAACTCAACCCCATATTGGTGAACAATACCCAATTTATGCAGCCTCTCATAACAGACTAAGATAAACTCATAAGAATCTTCAGTCTCAGAACCAAGAAATACCAGATGCTTAAGCTTCAAAAACTTAGTCAACATATCATGCTCATTCCCAGTCATAACAGAACCCAACAAACAACAGAAGAAAGCATCAGTACCTA